CTGTACATTTTGAGGTTATGCCAGCGACAGTAAACCGCTGAATCACAACACATGTGCTAAGTGATGAAGGCTGCCCACTGTCAGGAGGGGTAGATTTCATGAACATCTGCTGCTGACACACACACACACACACACACACACATACATCACAGCATGTAGGGTGTGAGGAGGAAGTGGGTGGAAAGAGAACAGCTCAGTCACACACTGCTTTGTGACATTAACATGTATCTGTTTTTACCTGTACATGTGCAAACACAACTGCACAAACACACACACACTCTGCCTGGTGTTCAAAGTACAGATGAACTACATATGAACGTGCACATGCACATCATGCAGAACCTGTGTGTGTTTTCTGAGATACTCTGAATAATTCAAGAACTTATCAGAAGTCCTTGGAAGCCAACACGACAAACACACAACCCACATTTATTTTACCCTCCAGTGCACCTGCAAATATGTTTTTACACTACGTGCTTGGATCATTCTTATTCTTTTTTTTTTTAAATTCCACGTGGAGTCTGAGATGCACAGTTGGAGTAGCGGCAAAATTCTTGCTCAATACCTGGGTTTCTACTTCCACCAGAGCTACTGTCAGTACCAGGCTCAGTACGGACCAGTATTAAACTTGTATTGTATAGTATTACATTTGTAGAATTAGATTAGCCTAACTCAAGGGAAGGCACACACTGACGAGTTACATTCATGAAATAAAGTTGATTTAATAAAATAAGATTTAACTCACTTAATCTTGAAGATTGTGTTCAACTATTAAACTAGTAAAAACCTTGAAGACTTGCAAATGTTGAAACCTTAAAAGTAATTATGTTCTACAAGTGATTCAAAAGGATTTGGATTCAATAGTTGACTTTTATTCAGTAACATGCTCCTGAAAGCATTTTACCAAACCCTGTTGATTTGATAAAAGGTTACAGGATTAGAGTCATTAGTGGCTCCTATTTAAGCTTTGTTTATACTCAGTCGAGTATTACATTCATTATAAAGAAACAAGGGTTGAATAGACATGAAGTAGAGCTTTTATCAGTGAATATTCATGACTCACGTCTGAAAAGCTCAGATCACCAAGTTACTAAAATTCCCAAGTGCACGACGAAGCGCCGCAACCACCTGCGGATGCTTCATGCACAACGCAGAGGCCGTGATTACGGATTTTTCTAGCTCGTGCGACACATGCTGGCTTCACTCCGGAGAGTACAAACCAAGCTTTAAAAAGGAGGATAGCGTGAACACATTCCGGCCATCCTTTCAACCAAATGTCTCTTCTGCTCGTCTCTTAACAAGCCCTTTCTATTCTCTTTCCTTGACATTCTTCCTTCCTCCCTCCTTCCTTTCCTCTCCTCTCACTCAACTCTTCTGTCTTCCCGTCGCTCCCTTCTCATTGCACTCTTCTCTTTGTTATTCCCATCCCCCCCGACTTCTCTCTGAGATGAGGGCTGTCAGCGGGGTCATATATTTCACACAGTGCACCATCGACTCCTCAGACGCACATATATCCAACCTACGACATAGTGTTGGCTGATGGGGCAGCGGGTATGATGGGAACGGAAGATGGTGTCGGCTGGGCGAGTCCAACAGACAAGTTATATAAGACAGTGACGAGGACTTTTCTTTATGGAAGATACTGTAATGTCAACACCAGCTCTATGAAATAGATTCACTAGATTCCTGTATAGCACCAAGCGACTTCCCAGAGCACCAGGTGAAGTTTCCAAATTGTTTTTTACGCCCAACCAACTGTTGTAAGTTTATAAAAACAGAGAAAAGCAGCAAACATTACACAATAACACTTGAATTGATAAAGCCACTTTCAAATGACAAGGTAGTACCAAATGTAAATCATACTTTGGTGTTTGATTTTCACCCCTTTACTAAAGATTTCATTCAAGTTATTTTTTTCTTTTTACAAAATGAACCAAAATGATGAGAATAAATATGAAACAAAACATAAATCATACCCTCTAAACTAGAAGAAATCTGGTTTGAATTGAAATCAAACACTAATACCAAGCTAATCTATAGAGGAAACCTTAAAATGCATCTTTGGATGGCTGACAGAAAAGCATGCAGCCAATCTTTACATTTGAGAAGCTGATGTGTATTAAAAGAGGGTTTCTTATCAAAGTTGTTTCAAATCTCCCCGTGAATATTACAATATCTTCAAATGCTGTGATGTGGTTTAAAAGGTTTTTGTTCATCATTCATCAGCCAGATCGCTGAGATGTCTCCACACATAAGATATGTAGCCTGAGCTTCAACAGTACCACTACCAGTCAATAACGCATGTCGCATAATGTCAGAGTGTCAACTACTCCTTTAAAAGGTATAAATTCATGTGGCAAGTTCAGCAGGGCTTCATGCGGCCTCTCCGACTGCTCTGCTCAAACTCACTACACATATCACACTCCTTCTGACCCATGAATAATGTGGAAAATTCAGAGAGAAATAGAGAGAGAGAGAATTTCCACTTCTGCTGCTTCACCTAATCCAAGTGCCTTTTCCTCTCTCTCTCCCTTCTGTTTCTCACTAACACCATGCAGTTGGACTCTTTCACACTCCCTCCCTTTCTCCTTAAACGCACACAAACGACACGAAAATGCAAAATACCTGCCTGCCTGCGAATATTATGCGTCAAATCTATTCACAACGCAGCGATGCAAATTTGCGACAGTTGCAACACTTTTTCAATAAAGGGTTCCAATAGATTCGAGCAGGCAGAGGACCAACTACCGGGATCCTACTGACCCACGGCAGCGTCTGGCAGCCTGTCTGAGGTTAATTGTTGTATAGCCTAAGCTACTGAAAGCTATTTTATTGAGTTTCCTTTCGAGGTTGACAGGGGTAATAGAGTTTGCCGTCTGGGTTTGAACTCAGAGCCTCCCTGTTGTTGTACATTACAGTGTTCCACACAACAGGATGGGTTGATACCTTATTTGTGGTTTGAAAGCTAAGATAATCAAACTTGTTCCATTCCTTTCCTTTTCGCCACGGAATATGCACGTACCCATGACAAAAACAGTAAAAAAAAATATATATATATTGACATGCTAATCAATCACACAATCCCCCCCCCCCCCCCCCCCCCCCCCCCCCGGCTGTGTAAAGGCCTTAAGGCTGCATTCATACCAAATCAGGCATTGCGGCGAAAATGACAGTCCCCCCATTCTTTCGAAAGTGATAGTTAATTTAAGCTGGGGACTGCGGGGGATGCCAAAAAAAAATGCTGCAGCCTGGGCGCGAAAAGTTTTAACCAATTTTTGGAGAAACACAACTCGACGTCATGCTGCTGTGGTCATTTATGTAACCCACGTTTAGCCCGGAACACAGCCACGGGAAGAAGGAAGAAGGGATTGAATGACCAAAACACAACTGAGTGAAACGTTATATCTCACGTGGAGTCACTCAATCTGAGCACCAGTTTAAAACCAACTGTTTTGATAGGCCTGGCATCCTGGTTAGTTATTGAAAGTAAGAGTGTTTGTCGATGCTGACAGACAATCACTCATAGCACCCGGCATACTAGCAGCACGGTGTCGCAGAAATGGGCCATTTAAGGGACTCTCCCACACCGCCACACAAACCTGCGTTAATGGTCGCAACGCCTGACTTGGTGTAAATGCAGCCTAGACAGAGTGCTGGCAGTTTGCCTCTTTCTAAGAATGTATGGTGCTACAATCCTGAAGGAACACACCATCAGCTCCTCGAGAAGGCTTGCATGCTGACACAAGTGGGGAACGACACTTCGTAGCAGATTTGAGTAGGAGACACCAAAAAAGGTCTTAAAGTTATAAACGGTGAAGTCTCTTTGATAAGAAACATGCAACCAAAGCTCTTGTGTGTAAATTAAACATAAAAGATGAAATGACTGATCTGCCGTAAAGGGATCCGATTATGTAAACATGTAGAGTCAGAAATCATGTGTTCTATCCCTCATGTTTTAAAAACACAACAGGCTTAGTTAAGTAGGTTTAACTGCAACTGTTGTTTGAAACATTTGTAAAACACAAGTGGCATGAGAGAACTTTAACTGCACAATGTTTTATTGTCTGTAACGCATTCAATTTAGCAAAGGAGCTGATTAAAATGTCAGTTTGTTATTGCACATGTTGAACATTAAAATGTATGCTTAAAGAAGGCTAAAAAGAAAGCAGAATCACAACAGAAAGCACACGTGCATGTCGTTGCACTGCTCGATGCAGTGAACATATTCAATAATGTCGTGGCAGATGGAAATGTGGATAAACTATAATGCTGAAATGGTGTTCAGAGTTCCTGACTTTAAAACGGCTGCATGGATAATATGTTTTTATATCGATATCGAGGTAAACGTGAATGACAGAGACAAGAAATTTCATCCACAGCTTCTCCTCTTGTTGCAAGGAAAGCACCAGAACGTACGACCCCCCCCCCCATACAGCGTACACAGGATATTTAAAAGTCAATTCAGATCATCCCAAAACATCAGTAAAGTGATTAAAGGTTTGTTTACGTCACTATTTGTGTAGCAATTCAACAATACAGTTTGTGAAGTGTTGTGGCCAAACAATTAGGCCTTTAAATGTGTCAGATGAGGGGATCCCTTCACTCACATTATAATGAGAAGTTACATGGTGTTTAATGACACACCGGCTCATTTTAAATCCAGTAGAGGAAACGGAAACAGCCCGTCTGTCAAATCCCATTGTAACATTGGGAACCACTCAAATAAACTTTAGAGCTAAAGCTCCTCACACAGATGTGGCTTTTATATCGTTTATTATATATCAACCCATATGCTGAGTAAATTAAGATCACTATAGAGCTTCAGAAACCGGTTGTCGTCACCATAAAAAAAAACAAAAAGAAAACGTAGCCAACATTTTGAAAGTGCGTCGGTCGGTGCAAACTAAACCGCCGACGCACAACAAGTCCCGATGTGCGTAAAAACTGAAAAAGTGAGCCGCGCCACTTTCCATAATTTGTTTCCCCAATCTAACGTGTACCTGGTTAGTGGTGTCAGGCGGCATGTTCTTCATGAGGATTTTCCTCCTGTTGCTCAGCTCCTGGCGAGTTTTGGCAAGCCTCTTCTCGATCTCCTCCGGCTCCAGGTCCGGCAGGTCACGGAGGGTAATCTGCCAGTCGGAGGGCTGCGGTGCCGCCGCCGCCTCCGCCGGCTGCTGGCCCTCGGGGCTGTCCATCTCCGGAGGATGTGCGCTCTCCCCGGCTAGAGAAGAGTGGACGATCGGCGGCTGGATGGATGGGGCTGCCGCCATCTTGAGTGGCTGAGGGAAAAGTGTGAGGAGAGAGAGGCAGAGAGACACACCGAGAGAGAAAAGAGAGAGAGCGAGAGAGAGAGCGAGAGAGAGAGCAGGTGGGAGGCGTGTCTGTTAGTGAAAGAGAGAAAGGTAAAACATCCCGTATCAAATAAAAAATAAATAGCTATTTTAATTAAACTCTTATTCCTAACTGTGTATTTTCCTTGAAATAAAATATTCACTTATACATATGCCACTTGGCTGTATAATCACCTCTAAACTTGTGCAATCATCTTTGTTTTGTTTCATTTGTTTAATTGGATAACGCGCAGGTGAAATGAGTAGAACGCAGTAGCTAATTGTTGTAACTACAGTTTGCAGCTCACGTGGTTTATAGCGTGACAGGCTGCACCTCGCGGGCTCCTGGCGACCCCAACTGTCTGCTGAATGTAGAAGCTAACCAAGGTCCGCCAATGCCACCAGCAGACCATCAGTCTGTCGATTCTTGCTTGACATCAATGTTAACCTACTTAAATCTTTCACATGTTGAGCCTGACGTGTGTTTTGTATGTTCTGTAAACTGTATTTCTTACGTCTACAGCAGGGGACTGAATATATGATTGCACAAGAGAAACTCGGTTATTATTTTTGTTCTGTAGCACAATTAACACATTTATTCTTTTGGTCAAAGACAGAAGGAGAGAGCGAGGCCTTCATTGGAGAATATCTCCAAACCACCATAGCTTTCTTCTTACCCGTGCATAATGTAACCACGAATGGCTGCGTGCCTCTCCTCCTTTCTACCCAAGTCATCCAGTGAATGCCAAACTAGCAGCCAACCGAGCCTGCTTGCCTGCCCACCGTGGGTGGAAAGCTGCTCCTGGCAAACACAAAGGGAACAGAGCTCCCTGCCGAGTCCTCACAATGCCTGTGTAGCTTCCGCAGGCTGCATGAGTCGCTGACAGACACGTGCACACAGACTCGCACTCATGAGATGCATTCACACTCACGTATAGGCCCACAAACATGTCAGCAATTGCACACACATCAACCCACTAAAGGAAATGTTTAGAGCACACACACTGTATGCCGAAGCCTGTAAGAGACGGGGAAATCAACCTCCATCATCCAGCCTCCATTTTCTCTCTCTCGCCATCTGTGTGAAGCGTTTCTTGGCAGATCGGAGTCCAGACAATCACAGTTGTCAGTGGGTGAAAATTAGCTCACATTGCCAAGTGGCTGAACCAGTGGAACTCACACACACACCGACTGTACATGCAGCAGTTTGTATGAACGCTTCAATCAAGCTTACGCTCAGTCCACTCGAGTGGAGAGTCCAAAGAGAAGGGCATTTTATGACATTTCAAACAGAAGGAATAGAGGATGAACTGCGGTTTTTTTAATTTCCTGTGAATTCAACACGTCTTTGTGTATCAGCTTGAATCTATATACTCAGTATTGTATGTGCTAAAAAACCAAGTCACGTGTCTTCCTGCATATCAGAAGGTGACAAATGCTCCTTCACCATGATGGATCCTATACGAAAGACATATTTTACCTCCAGAAGGCAATGATACCGGCTTTTCTATTATTAATTCAAGAGGATTTCCAGGTGCAACGCTAATAGATGCGACTCACCCAATGACTCAATTTGCTGCTCTGCACAAAATAAATCTTCAACTATTTTGATAATCAGTCCAGACATCTAATTTTTCAAGCAAATATGCCAAACATGCTCTGGTTGCAGCTTCTCAAATGTGAGGACCTGCTGCTATATCAAATAGTAAATTGAATATTCAGGTTTTAAAACATGTAAAGACTTCTTTGTAAGGTCTGGGAAATTACAATGAGCCCTATTCTCTGAACATTTAAATAAAAGAAAAAAAACGATTACTTTATTCAACTAGAAAGAAATGGGCTTAGTTTGGTTCCTACATCAGGCTACATCTTGTGATCACTGGCAATCTGTTTTTCTGTTAAGATTCTGTCACGTCCTTAATAATACTGATACTGTGTACTAACAACCAAAGAAATCCTTTGGAGAAGAAAAAAAAAAAGATTCTGTTATGTCCTCATATATAAAGTACATATAGCATTACATGTGCTACAAATCACAAACTAATGTCCTTTTGCAAAAGGTGTGAAATGCTCATGACCAGCATTCATCCTGCACATGTGCGAAACATTTCTTTTGTCCAATTGCAATCAGCTGAAACAAAGACATTGTTTCCTGCACTTGAAAGGCATTCAGGTGAAGTCAGTTTTTGATCTAACTGCAGCACATACAATAGTCGGTGCCTGCTGACAGATTGGGGGACATGAATCATTGAGCAGTGGTTCTCTGAAAAGACAGCAAGGACTTGCCTGTCACTTGCACAGGCTGATTTTAGAGACGCATGAATTACTTCACTAAGTGCCAAACAACGTTTCCATGAGAGAACAATTAATTTGTTCTCTCAGTCCCACTGGCACAAACGCATGCCATATTACACTTACAGACACACTCTAACACACACACGCATTAACTCATGTCAGCCTACAGTCGGCCCCGCACAGTTGCCAAACTGTATCTCTAAAAGCGCTATATGTGCAAGTCAATCCCCATAATAATGGGCTATATGCTTCACAAACCAAGGGAAAGAGAGATGTTACTCCCTCTCCATCTAAAAACACAAAAGCCCTGCTGGTGCTTCAGCGTGTCAGCCAGTGATTCACAGCCTTTTGGAGTGGGTGGGTGTAGAGAGGAGGAGGAGAAGAAAGCGGGAACGTGTTCGCCGCTGCTCGCTGGAACTCAGAGTGTGAGTGTGTGGGTGGGCAGAGTGGCTGAACGGGCAAAGCAGGCACCTGGGATCAGCTCAGTAGGCGTGAGGATGGGATGGGAGGGAGGGGGGGGGGTGGTTGAACCCTAAATGCAAAGGGGTTCATTGCGCGTGGGAGTTGACGGTGAGCACACACACATGGGTTTGTATCCCGTATGATTGTACATTGCGATTACGGACACCTCACTCTGCAATCTTGTCTGGAGATATTAAAATGGACTGAAGCCTCTCCCTGCATTAATGAGCCGGTGCTCTGTGCTCATAAATGACCACAGATGCTGTCTAGTGGCATAGCTTCCTTTCTCATATCATAGAGATCATGGGAGGTGTGACCTACTAAAAACAGCTGACCTGGACCTACAGGGACAATATGCACAAGAGGTCCCTGCCCAATTCATGTCCTAATTACAGTGGTCATAAGCATACATCTTCACCAGTGTGTCAGGGAAGCTTTTATGTGCCGAGCAAGTGAATCTGTCATGAGAAAGTTGCACCTAATTTAATGTGAATAAACCCTGTTTTCAACCCAACTGTTTACTTTTTTTAATGTCTTGATCGCTACAGAGGCTCCGATTAGATTTATTTAGTTACCAAGGAAGTAATACTGTAGAGGTGTACCTTTGAGCAGAACATTGTGAATGATGATCATATCTGCTGAGATGGTTTTGGGAAACTGGGACTCTGGATTGCACGAAATATGCTGCAAGTGCATGTCTGCTGTGCTATTTGGCAGAGTGAGGACTGACTGAAATGACCTGAGGGAGCTTGGACACCGAGCTCAGTGCTCTAATTCACAGCCATTCCCTGGCAGGGAGAAGCAGACAGCTCGGGAGAAAGAGGGAGTAGAGGAGAGTGACAATGAAAACGGAGAAACAGGGCTATGTCTGGGCGGTATGAATGAATGCTGAAACTGATGGGAAGGTTCATGGGACATGGTGACAGGAAGACTGATGAAAACATGGGGAAAGAGCTCCTTCAGCTCTCAACAGGGCTGAACTACTTCCATGTTGATGTTTGGTAAACAGAGAGCCCCTCTCTATTTTCACTTTCCACCTCAAGGAGAAACTATTTATTTAGCTGCACTCTATGACCCTCTTAAACAGGCAGTGGTACACCACCTATCTATAGCTCATTTAAATAAGATGTGATAAATCAAAAGATGAGATCAGATGGAAGTATCAAAGAAGACTGACCTTGCAAATTCACAGATGCTCTGTTTGAAGTCTTTCCCATATGCTACAGTCCAGGTGTCTCTTTCATTATATAATAACACTTCTGGCACACCCCGTCTCTCACTACTGTGAGGGCAAAAAGAGCCCATTGTAGGGCAGTTAATGAATATCATAATACTGTATCCATGGATAAACAAGAATGCCATGGTGGTATACTTGTTAAAAAATGATCCTTGGATCAGTATTACAGATGTAAGTAAATGCTGATGAATTGCTGCAGTACTCTAATAATCTTGAGTATTGAAAAGTAAAAATTTGATCACAAAAAAAAAGAAGTAAAAATCCACTAAAACATAACATACTCCGTGTCGGGCTGCACCTCGCGGGCTCCTGGCGACCCCAAGTGTCTGCTGAATGCAGCCTCTTGTTATATTGTTGTGACAATGTTGTCTCTCTACCTGTGGTTGTTTCCCAGGTCCCCTGGCAGGAAACACTGTATATACAGAAAGGCATCATAAATAACCGATAGGGTCATCCAGGCAGTATGTACCACTATTCATCCGCGAATGGCATGGCCTACAGGCAACAGACTGAAACGCATTGAAAAACACACTCCCCCCCCCGGTGAAGCTGAGAGCTGATTGTGACTGAAAGACTATTTTACTCTGAAATGCCCCATTTTTTGAAGTACGGGTCAAGAGGTAAAGCAAACTTGGGGGGGTCTTTCTCGAGTTCACCAAGACAGCAACAAATACTTTTAGATGTTTTTACTTAGTACAAAAGCCATAAACGTCTGGACCTTTGAAGATACATTTATTTTGTATTCTCACCGTGGCAGAAAAAAAAAAAAAGATTTTACCTGATACCAACAACTAAGATTCAACCATTGAGTGATAAATTACTAAATATTCTACACCATGACCTTTTGATGATTGTGACTGCATCGAGCCAGATATGACTCTGCTGTCAGTGACTGTGAATACTGGGACAGGTTATGAAACACAAAAATCCTGCAGAAAAAAAATGGCCCGAGTGACAATAGAAAAACACAATTAGCAGCATTCGACATCAACAACCACAATTTTGTCTGGAACTTAATGTTGTATGAAGTGAGACAAGTTGCCAGAAAAGCTAAATCTGAGCAACAGCTTCTAAGAGGACCTCTTGAGTGACTCACCGTGTGTGTCCAGTTCACCGTGTTTTAAATATCATCTTTGAGCTCAGTTAAAATATATGGAGCTCCATTAACTTAACATTAATCATACTTTGATGATTAACGTTAACGTAGAAAACAGCTAAATGTTTTTGTCCTACATTGATCTTAACAATACTCATACCCACTTACAACCAGCAGCTGTTTTGTTTTATCCAAAAAGCTGTAAAGTAGAAACACTGTATGCCAACTGCTCAGCATCAAAGAGCAGACCTAACGAGATGGCATAACTACCATTAACTGGCTAGCTGGTGAATGAACCTGAATTAGTTAAGCACCATTTGAAGAACAAGGCCCTGAGGTGGTGCAGCATACTTTTAAATTTGAACCTCCACTGAGCAGCCACAGCTTGCTTTCTACAAAAAAAGACCGATCATTTAAGTGTAAAAATGTACTTTATCACATTCACATTGCAATAAATCTTAATTTGATAACTTTATATGATACATGAGGGGGGGGTTGATGTACACGTTCCTTCAGTACATTAATTAATGCGAGTGTCCTACACACACACACACACACACACACACACATTTGTTTACAACAGCTGGTAAATACTGTTCTCCAGAAAAAAAAAAAGGGTTTTTAAAAACAAACTCAATTTGGTGAAAAAGGAATTTGTCCCGAAATCAACACTTATCGAAATATATGCCCCGAAATGCTACAAGGCTGCTTCGATGTCCAACTGAACAGAAATGATGAATATTGTGAAGATGATTGCAAGTAAATAAATGTTTATATGGTCAAACCTCTAACAGTAAATGGTCTCATGGCATAAACGTGATGTTAAACCTTTCTGTAAGTTAAGCCTCGAGTTGAATATATAACCCACGACACATCCAAGTTCAAGAACAGAACTACTTTGACATGTGTACTAAAATAAGACCACTGGGTTTTAATCTCTGCTCTAGCAGAGGTGTCCAATTATTTATCACTTTTTTAAAAGTTTAAATGACATCACATTGGGTGTTTAAATGTTCAACTAAAGTGAGAAACACACTCAAATAACAGTGAATGAATGTGGCCGACAGTCTTAAGTAGCAACTGACCCATAGCGCAGCTTACAGCAGCCGACTGTAAAGAACAGTAGAGGGGTGTTATTTGGTTGTTACTCCGTGAAAAGATGTAGTACCGTTTATTTTGCAAATCTAAATAAGTTCATGGAGAGATGAGCTTTCTTTAACATTTTGAAGACGCATGATAAAAACTTAAAAAAAAAAAACTAAGTATCTCAAACATAAAAAGTGTGTGTGTACACATTTTTCCAAGAACTGACTTCCATCCAATATGGACCTAAAGAAAAATAAATCTAAAAAAACATCCAAGGCATCAAAAATATAGTGAGACACCATGAACAGACAATATCGGAGCATCATCTGAAGCATACGTCATGTCTTACCAAGATAGAAAAATGGAGTGTACAGGACATCAATAGCTATTTGTGATTCTGTATTTACACTTCATAATGAATCTCTGAAAAACAATAGACATTTTTTCACATAGAAATAAATGGATGTCACACCGATTTTGACCAGTTGAACAATCAAACCCACGAAGCACAGATCGAGTGACTCTTCATCAGAATAAAAATGAGTGGATTTCTCAATCATAATAATTTCAACTATAATTCTCTAATGCTATTTTGAAAAAAAATACAATAATGCATTCAATGAAAATATTCCAGGTGGATACTCATTCCCTCTTCACAATCACTCACTCTCATGTACACAGACACACACACACACACACACACACACTTAAACCAGAGACATGTAGAAAATACATTTTGAGTGGTTAACCACAGAGGAGCAGACAGATGGGTGTAACCTCTGAACAACAGCAGCAGCATTTCTCCCTCTTTCACTCTTATTGATGAGAAGGAGACTCCATCTTGGGCATCACCGGAAATTCAACTTGCTTTGCACCAAATCCAGCACACAACCGTAACATACGTGTAGCATCAGTTTGGCCTCAGGGGAAAAAAAAGTTCTGTTAAAACAGGAGATTTCTAAACTGTGTTTTCTACTCGGGCAGAGAGAGGGGACAGCACTCTGTGAGTCTCTCAGGACCGTTGTGAGGATCCCCAATTATCCTCACACACCAAATCTCCAGCAGTGACTAAAGCCAGGAATGTTTTGCTGGTGTTAGTTTCACTCGTCCCTCGTCCATCCCCAGGAGGCTTACAAAGGCCAGTGACCACAGCGAGTTCTGCCTCCTGATACAGAGGACATGTCCAGAATGAGGATGTTCAGCACAGCAAGTCTTACTTTACAATGACAAAGACCTCAGTGATTCAGAACAGTGAAAAGTATGTCCAATACCACTTTCTCCTAACTGCTCTGATGGACAGGATGTGATTTAAGGCTCATGTATTTGTGTTTTTTATCGATAATCACCGAAAAATACCTGGATTTTTTTTTTTTTTTTTTAAATGAGCAAATCTGATTTTAGGTCCCTGCACATCCCATGATGTTTCCAGCTTAAAGAAGACACTTTTAAACACACTTTATGGTAAATATGATATCCTGGTAGAGAGATAGCTCAGAATAAACTCCTGGGGAGAAAGTAAAAAGATAAATGGAAATAAAATACAAATGGACTTCTGATGATTATGCACCAGAGTCCCTCAATTAGGTGGAAACATAAAAGCTCAAAATATGCAAGATTTTCAGCCTGTTTGATATACTTCAAATTCTAAATAAACAAAATCAGTTACAGATATTAAGGGAAGCAAAAATGAGCTTTAAATATGATGCATTGTTTACAGATTGTGTTGTCACGACTACTTTGTTTGTGTTCGCTGCAGCTGCTTACTAATCCGTCATTGAAAATCTACCTCTTAAATAAATAGTAGAAAAATAATCTTTTCCTCTTAAGTGTTTCTTCCTGTATTTATGCGAATCATTTAAAAAAAAAAGTTGCACAGACACTCATGAAAATGTCCAAATATCTTTCAGAGAACACAAACCGGGGAGTGTCTATCTGCAGACGTGAGGGGAATAAAGCTGTGATAGAATCCCACATTAGATCCTGGTCCATGTAAAAATACAGTATTTTTACTCTTCATCCGAGACGTTTTAACAAATAAGGAGGCTCTGTTCCCCTCCAGCCCCTCACCACAAGTGGGCTTGGTGGGGGATGCTGGGCTGAAGGCCTGGGGAAAAAGGGGTCCAATCAGCATCTAGACTGTTACTGTGATTATCCCCTCTGGTATTTTCTATCGCCTTCCACTTGGAAATGAAGACCCCTCTTCTGCCTCAAGGAGTTTAGGTTCCAGTTGTGTCCTCTTCTCAATTAATGGGCTCAAGCCGCGTTTTTGTGCGCTCTCATGACAAATTCCACCAGAAAACCAACAAAAAAATCTCATTTGGATATTGTTACTGGCCCAGGTCTGGTCATTTTTAGTGTGTGTAAACTTGAGTACACTTGCCAGATGTTGGACTGGGTTGGTGGGGAAACAAGGGTTGAAATGGAGATGTTGGCACAATGACACCATGAGGCTAATGCCCATAATAATCATCAATTGATGGCAGACATCCCAGCAGCCCAGTGACACTGTGAGTCCAGCGGTAGCTTTTCTCTCCCTCCGTCCATCCTGACAGTACCTACTGTGTGCAGTCTAATCAAGCACAAATGTTTTTTAAAAATAGTTTTTTTTAATAAAAACAAGTTCCGTCCAGGGCAGGAGGGCGATTGCAGCGCTGAAGATCAGCACTCTGCATCCACGCTGTGCACGGTGACCGCGGCCTGCAGGTGGTGCGTGTGCATGTGCAGCGGGTGGTGGTGTATGTGCGTGTGCCGGTAGGGGTGAAACTTGTGGCTGAGCAGCGCTGCCGTCTGAGGAGGCGTGTCTAGGTCGAGGTCGTCATCGTGGTTACCGACGTCGACACCGGCCGAGAGCGGGTCGTTGTTCCCAGGTGGATTCTCACTGTCCTCCTGCGGACTCATGGTGCTGTAGCCTGGAGACAATAAAACATGCAGAGGTTGGTATTGCTGGACTTGTCATCACATTCCCCCCAAAAAACTACATAAAAAAAGAGATTCTCAAACTTTGGGTTAGGTCCTCGTGTGAGCTTACGCAGACAAGGCAAAGGGAGGTCAACATGGTAAGGCTCTATATACCCTGACCTCTACCCTGTCAACCGTACTTTAAGGCCTATTTTATGTGTTGTTAAAATGTGCATTGTTTGTTTGATGAGCCCTGTTAGAGGAGAATCTATGTTGCTTTGTGACAGACAAGTTAATTTTATCTTAAATTACTAAAACTGATTTTGTATGATATCATTGTTTAATTTGGAGCTCCCTGTATGTCATTGAAAACAGACTACAAAGGTTTGCCACACTCTACTTTACAACTTGAAACTATGTAATTGGAGGGTCAATTGTAAAGCCTTGGTTGCCGAAAAATGTAATGTTTGATTTGAAGATGAAAATCAGTCTCAAAACCAAAACCCAGGTTTTCACAAGTAAAAAATGTAAAGTGTAACATATTATACACTCTACATTGTTGATTCCTTATTCAGGCACTGGCTGGGGGGGTTAAATCAAATATAAAGTACTTCACTGTTACTGTACATAATAGTGTAAGAATAGCTGCAGAACATCGAACAGAAATGGGAAGACCCCATAAAAGAAACTACTCAACAAATGTAGCCCTCCAGTCATAGACATTCAACACAGAAACATTAATGTGAATACACGGAAACACACATTGTCTCCGAAAGCAGTACAAGCTCTTTTGATGGCGCATTGACAACTAAATATCCCCACAGGGCATTTTTGCTACTTGTTTTCAAGCCTTCTCATACAATTTGAAAAAAAAAAAAGAAGATGCATACATATTTACGACACTTTCAAACACATTGCGCACATACGTTTAACCCGAGGAGATATGAACACAAGCCAACATGGCAGCTAAGATGCACTGGTAAGTGGAGCAGTGGGAGGGTGGTACTGTTGTCGTAGAAAAAAGGGATTACTGGGTCAGAGAATGAGTAAACAGATCGTAATAAAGCACCATTTTAATCTTCACAATTCAAGTTTGAATTCAAGTTTGACTGAGATTACTAATCATGAGCTCTTCCAGCATCTGATTTTCATGAAAACCTTGCAGGCTGTTGGTTTTACCAGTCGTCTCTTCACGTGAACTCGTATGCGTCATAATAACCCTTCATCTGTTGAGTGGGTTTCATCACCTTCGGGGCCATGAAATCCATCTGAAACACATGGTCTGACTATAAAAAAAAATGATTTGGGAGTTAATCTGGAAATAAACCCATTTTCCTTAATTCCTTTAGTGCCGTCTTTTTCTGGTTCTGAAGCGACACCGGCAACATGCTGCACGACATCAATCCGTTACATTTATAGAAAAATGACTGCAATTATGGATGATGAAACATTAAACCTCCAGAGATACGGAACCAAGTGATTTGTGAGCTTGTGTGTGTGAGTCAGTGGGGGTCTCCAATGACTGAGGCATGAAAGGAGAAGGCGGTGGGTTGAGGTATATGCGTGTACATTTGTGTGGCCTTGAGTCAGATTTATCTCCAACAACCTTTTCCATCCAGTTAAACATCTAAACCATTGAGTAAACATATCGGATGAACATTCTTCTCAGGGCTTTCTGGGGGATCATCAAGCTCAATTCGTACAGAACCAAGCCAAACTATTCAGAAATAACACTCAAGAGTATACAGCCATGCTAGCAGCTCTTTGAGGCTGTAGTTAAGCATCAGAATGCTAACGTGCTCACAATGACAATGCTTCGTTTACAATGTTCACCGTCTTAGTTTGGTGTTACGTGCCAACGTTTGCATATTAGCACCAAACACAGCGACACTGAGGCTGATGAGAACGTCATTCCTTTTCCAGGTTCAGTATTTGGTCGTAAAACAAACTACGAGACTGAATACAACTTTGACCTGATGGTGGCGCCAGAGGAAAAGACAGGGCATCAAATTTCTGTCTTAAGTGACTTACATTGCCATCCGTTTTTTTAGCCATGTTGTGTAGCATTTACTTTTCCTACACTCTTCCTGTCATTATTTGTGGTGTATGTCCTATAATAGAGGGCAATGTATGCCCCACAATAAGGCGTCATGTGAAAGAAGTAAATGTGCTGGATGTCCCACTGAAGAGTCCTAAAAATCCTGTACTGGAGTTAGAATGAGAAGATTGCTCAGTAGTTTCCCTGCCTGATTCTCTGGAGATTAGCTGGGCTTTGATAGCAAACGAAAGAAAGCTGACAAAGACAAGGAGAAACAGACGAATGAGCAGAGGAGGTGAAAAGGATGGGGGCAGGGAGAAGGAGAGAGGAAAGGAGGGATCAAAATAAAAGGCAGGGATGGAGACTTCAAAGAAGTTCCAGACATGGAAGATGCAAACTTGAGCAGTTTATCCTTCACTTCTAAAAAGCAAATCCCCCTTAATGTCAAAAGATGTGGGGAGACCATGTTATTTTAAGAGTCTCAAGTCTAAATCCTGAAAATCAATCCTGGATAGTCAACAGATTTTTAGTAACAAACTGAATGACACATCAACTAGTTTGCCGGTATTTAAAGGAATAGTTTTGACAATTTGTTAATATACTTATTCAATTTCTTGCCAAGATATCTATAACAATACCACTCTCATGTCTGTGCATTGAGTATGCTACCGCCAGGAGCCAGTTATCTTAGCTTAGCATAAAGACAGGAAACAGTTAGCATGGCTCTGTCCACAGGTTAAACATCACCGATTAACAAGTTAAATCTCATTTGGAAGTATAATTTGTGGTTTGATGGGGGTTACGTGAAGAACTACTGCATTTGTTGGCCAGGGGCAGCAACTAGCTACACTAAGCTGACCGGCTGCTGTCTGTAGCTTCACATTTGGCATACAGACGTGAGAGTGGTATCAAGCATCACATCTTACTCCCATCTAATGTACCACAATGTCAAACTACTGCTTTAACTTGTCTATACAATGTCAATTGTATCTTAAGAATTTGTAATATACAGCCGCAATCCAGGAATTATACAAATTCTGTTCAATTAAATATCAATATTATTTCTCCTTTTATCGTCATTTAGGTCTAGAAGCACGTCGCTCAAAAACGTGAATTTCTTTGTTATTTTGAAGATGGATATAATTATGTTCTTTACGTTTTTTGTACACACAAAAGGGCGTGCAGATTAAAGTTGGAGATTATCTGTATGCATGCAAGCTATTCATTATTAAATGGGTAGTTTTAGCCATCGCCTGTATGCTAATATTGCAGCTCTGCCAAACAGCACTCTGTATGTGTGCGTCACTTACCTAACAGATTTAATGCTCTGATCTTTCAGTGATCTGCTTGGAGCCTGTGTGTGTGTGTGTGTGTGTGTGTGTGTGTGTGTGTTTTATCATACCCTTCAGCATTATGAGTGAGTGGATTGTGGTAGGAGGGCACCTTTGCCCAAGCAGAGAGGAGCAGCAACTTTGACACGTCTACTTGGTAATAATGAATTTGTTCTAATCCCTGACGGACGAACACCCCCTCTTTCCATTATTTCTAACTCTTCTTCCTCCTCCTCTGTCCCTGTCCTCTTGCCCTTTCATTTCACTCTTATTTCCCCTCTTTCATCATTTTTGCATCTGTACATCTCTCCACTTGTCCTCCATTTTCTTTTTTTTTTCCATTCCCATTTTCAGTTATGCAACATGTGATGTGATCTTTTACGCAGACTGCTCTTTCCATTAGCACGTATGAATCACTGCGTTTGCTTCTCATGTGAAAGAGAATTCAGATGTCCTTCACGAATGAGCTTCCGGATTAAAAACATTGATTTATTCGGCACCTCTTCCTCAAAACAGTCCTTTAAAAGATTTAGTTAAATTAAATAACTTTTGGGATATTTAAGATTCGGTTAGATGAATCTGTATTTTAGAAAGATATCTATGTTATGCAGGAGAGGTGAAATACAGAAAACACAACGAGAGTCACTAAAGAGGAACTCATCGTACAAACAGATTAAAAATCTTTTTTCCCCTCACATCGCTCAATGCTCTCTGGTTGAACATCCATACTGTAACAAGCAGCTGACAAGCTCTTACTCCTCTTTGTTTCACTTTAGCCCACTCTCTTCTCTTCAGATTCCTCCTTGTCATCATCAGTTATGCAACAAGTATTGGAGGCACTCACTGCCAGGAAGTGGAGTGATGCCATATGTAGGTGGTAAGAGCCCATGTGGGAGAAAACTGTCCATCCACGCTCACAGAGTGTCAGACTTACAGCGAAACACGAGCAACTTTCCCAGAGCTGGAGACGAGAGAAAACAAGGTTCTGAGCTGTGATGTAATGAAAAGAACAAGCCAGGAGCTGAACCACCACCAAAGAACTGAGCGCTAACTCTGGGTTTGAGACTGTGCTGTAACAATCATTTAACAAAAGATGATACCGAAGCCCCAAATTTGATTTTTGACGGTTACGGAAGGTAACTTAGACTTCTTCCCACATCTTCCAGCTCTTTCTTTGGGATCCCGAGGCATTCTCACACCAGGTGGGATACGTACGCTCTCTGCCCCAAGGGTCTCCTCCACAGCTAGATGCTTTCAGAAAGCTCCCCGATTAGATGGTTGAATCCGTCTCCTCTTTTTGTTGCAGAACTGGTGTCTTCGGGTGAGCCCACGTGGTTGTACTGACATTATAGTTTTAAATTCGCAGATAATATATCTATGCTTATGCTGCCTAAGGCAAAATGTCAGCCGAACTTGTGCAAGATGGGTCAGTTTTGTAACAAATGAATAATTCGTTCTCCAGAAACCGTGATTATTTTTGAATGCAATATCTGTTGAGTCAGAATGACATGACGAGGAACGAGGAAAAATATTGGTCAGTTGCAAGTGTTTTTTTTGTATCTATGTATCTGTGGTGGGAGATAAATTATTTGTCTTACCGTGGTCACTCTCTGTCCCGGATCGACCCCAGTACCTCCGTCTCCGTTCAGGCGTGTGAGTGTGCCGCTCGATCACTGCAGCGATGAATCGAGTGTTACTGACTGAAAGTGAAGAGAACACACAGGTCAACACAAAGGCCCCGTTTAGTAATACAATACCTGCACTGCCAAATAAAAAAATATACTGTATGCATTTCATCTTATGCACTCAAACCCTCTATTTAAATGTTCTGTATCATGTTTAGTTTATACATCAATGGGGTATCAGACAATACTTACTGATTCCTCTGTCCTCATGGATGTCCTCATCCCTCTCATCTCTCTCGTTGTCCAGGTTGGACATTCTCACTGACATTTCTAAAGCAACATGGAGGTAAAGGGGAAGAGAATAAGACAAATAGAGATAAATAATACTATTCCAATGGATGTATAGGAATATTGAAGTATTACAAGCAGGAATTATATTTGAACATGGTTCCTTCCTCCAGTTAGTTTTAGATTGTGTTGTTATCTGTACGGTGAGAATAACTTGTGTACGTGGGGATATTAGCCACAAGTGTACGTGTTCAAGGAGGCTCAGTTTGGATGGGTGTACACATGCTGCACGGCAAGTTACTTTAAACCCAATCTCAGAACCAGTCTGAGGACGGATGAGCCTCTGGGGGCGAGGGGCTGTATTCATCCAGTGACGTCCGGGTCAAGACTTCCTTTTCTTTGCGCTGCTCGTTGTTTACATTCCGATCATTAACTGAGATGCGAGACAGGAGTTGGAGTTTAAAGATGACGTGTACGACCAGATTGTGTCTCAAGAAGCCAGTTTACAAGCTAATTTGAAAGCAATACAAAATATAAATTATCGTCAGACAAGCTGGTGGGTTCCGAGATTGCATTTCGGCCAATGTCTGCTGGAACGTGATTGGTTAATACTACTCAGCCTATGAACAGAAGACAGAACACTTCCATGCCAAATGTGTTCCTGTTGCCTTCAGATTCTGCATACGAAGGCAGAATCTGACCCAGCAGATGGCTTGTTACACAGAAACTTGTGTGTTGTATGATCCCGCGATTGTTGCATGATCCCGCGATTGTTGCATGATCTCGTGACATCGCGAGAATCCAGCTGCCGTGTGTGTGTGTGTGTGTTGTTGGTGGTACAAGCTGTGGCTGCAGAATGAGCTGAACATGCCCAGCACACACACACACAAAGCTGCGACTTCAGGAGCCGATTCCTCGGCCTAATGCCTTGTGATAATGCCGCTACACTCTCCACCATCTATCCAAAGTTATTCACCAAACTATCAGATTGAAAGTGACTTGGACTCAAGAGTTTTGAGGTTGTATTTTTGTTGGATTTCTCATGTCAATAACACAGTAATTACACAAATCATGCTGCGGCAGCTGCCGCCGCGTGATGCTAATGTCAGCTGTTTAGTTCCAGCAGCACTTGCCACACTGCTTGTTAATCAGGCTGCTTTAAAACTGTGTTTCTTCCTTTGGTATTTAAAGAAATGCCAGTATGTGAAGAACGCAGATGCTAAGCTTAGTGCAAACAACTATAACGAAAATGATGCTGCAGGTATATTTTGTCCACGGTAACGAAATGTAATATTGACAAAAAACGAATGTCATATGTCTCAATTTGATTGACCGATCACTTTAACTGTATAAGTGTATTTGGTATCAGTCCTACCCTGTGCTGCCAGTGGGGACATGTGCTGGTGCGAACGCCTGTGGATCTGGTGTCTGTATGCATACACAGCCAGCACCAACACCATGATGCATCCCATAATTCCCCCAGCGACTGGACCCACAGGGGCGCTCTTGATCATGTTCAGAGATGCCACCTCCTCATCTGCTGAAGAAAGAGAGATAGGCAGAAGGTTGATTAAAGAAATTACTAAGGATTTCTGACGGCTGAAGAAGTGAAAACACAACAAGTCAATATCAAACAGCTCCAGCTCTGATCCTAACTCACGCCGAGACATTTTCTACCTCACTTCTCCTCACTCAGCAGTGTGAAATGCCACAGGAAAAATATTCCACTGCAGACAGACGGACAATTCTCATTTTGAAACAACTGATAACAGAACCAAAGAAAACATTTTCAGTCAATCTGAAACATTGGTTACTATCCGTGATCTACAAAAGTAACATTTCTGCTGTCACGACTCACAAGAACCCTGGAAATAATGTCATCACTGCCATTTTGTTTAGTTTTTCTTTACTTACTTTATCACTGTTCTTTCTTTACTACAGCTATTCTCAACCACTGGTGGGCCTCAGAGCGCCATCTAGTGGGTCACGGAGGTACTGCTAAATGGTTCGATTAAATTAAAAATATATATCTACATGGTCATTTACAAAGCTAGTTATTTTCATATATGAATGTACTTAAGAATCCATTCCCATAAATAAAATATGTCAACTTAAAATGCAGAATGTTAATGACCAGTTACGTATGACTATCATCATGCCAACAACACATCATCAGTGAGAGACAAACGTTCCCTCAGATGCAGTGACACAAAATGTATTGGGTTTTAAAATGAAAAGGTGATGTGGGAGAAAACCCTGCGCCAATAAAAGCGTGTGGTGAGTAGGTATCCCCCTGAATACATTGAATTAGGATTCATAATGGCAGGCAGCGATGGATGAGAGTAAGCAGAATAATTATTTCGGTCATTACAGCCGACGCAACGGCGTAACACATATTTGCAGTCTGGTTTACCTGCAACCACTGCACTACAGTACATTAAGGACCAATATCTCAGAACTGTGGAACCAGACTCAGCCACTTTGCACCTTAGCTGAAAAAAGAAAGGTTCTAGTTGATCTATTTCTTTAGAGTGAGCATTCATATCCACATTTCCCTCACCTAGGAGTCCCAGGCCATCCGCATAGGGACTCTTGGCGCCGACGATGCCCCCGAAACATTCCTTCTGAAGGGCACAATATGGCTTGTCGAGATGAGTTTTACCATCACTGTCCACCATGCACCACTCACAGTCCAGGACGCCGAAACAATCACTGAAACAGAGATAGAAATAAGACTCTTGAAGGGCAAACACTTGAAATAGTTTTTTTAGAGAAGGGATGAAGTGGTAAATTATCTTTCCACAAGAGATAATTCATTACCACTAGGTGGCTGTTGACGTGCAACAATAACATATTTATTGTAAATACAGCGTGAAGCTCATGCTAGATTCACATAGTCTCTGTTGTACGTGTCTGTTGGTATATGGCCGTGAAAGAGTGTGTTGGTATATACTTCATACATGCATCGGTTTATTCATTATAACGGTTAATATGTTCCGCACATAAGTGCAGTATAGTGTGTACCTGCTGGTGTATCTCTGGCTACAGCGAGTGTTGATGCACTGGGGCAGCGTGTCCTGCAGACTGGGATCAATCACATTCAGACTGACTGGCTCCTGATGCACCTCACAGCTAGGGTTCCTGCACAACACACAAGCATAAGACAACATGAGGTGAAAATAAACAAAAAGTTGCAGGTACGCCATTATATATTCTTGGTCAAAATACAAACATCCAGCTGACAACATCCATCCAAATCCTAGAATGAAACACGATTACACAGGAAAGCAGATACTCTACAGTAAATTTGACAAACAAAGAAATCACAGCACGAGCCCTCCAAGTCTTCAGTGTGTTGATTTAGGCAAAGCAGCTTTTAAAAAGGACAAACATCAACGCTGCTTGACACAAAGCACGGAGAAAAATCTGACAGCTAAAAAAATGATGATTGCATGTCTCCCTGAAATAAAGGAGGCATTGGCATTTGAAACATTGACGTGCTGTCAGAGGCTGCTGATGGCTGATGAAAGTAGATGGGTGAAACAAGAGAGAGCGAGAGAGAGATGCAGGACTGAGATGGAAAGGACAAGAGAGACAATGAGAGAGAAAGACTAGTCCCCCCAAAAGGGTTGCCAGAGCCCAAACATATCCACAGTTCAAATGACATAAAAGAGACGCAGCCTGGAAATGTGTGCATTTGCAGACACTACTATCGTGTGCAAGGACTGAAAAATGAGTTTGGCAAATGTTACATGCGAGACTGAATGATTAGTAGAAAATACTACTGAAAGCTAATTCAAAAAAGGTATTTTATATCGGAGAGATATCACACATTATAACACATTAACGCACTGAAGCTCAGACATGTTTTGCACTGACCTGTTTTCAGCATTGGTGAGGTTGCCGGTACACTCATTGACCTCCAGGGGACACTCACACGGACACTCGCATTCATTCTGCTCCATTCTGAAAAACAGCCACATGTTCAGTGAGAAAGCTGCATTTAATTTGTTTGTTTTTTAGGTCAAATAGCTGCAGCATTATACTATCAGATCTGGATCTTCACTAAACTCAGAGGTTTGTTTTGTGATCTTGTTGAACAAACTTGCAAAACATCAAATCTATTTCTCATTAATGTAGTATCACTGTATGTTAGCAACGCTGCCCGGTGCCTGAGAGGTAAGCAGTAAGTCCCTGATGAGTGTGTGGGAGGAGGTGAGACCTGTGGCAGTTGAGACAGAGCCGGTCCACCGTGCTGCAGGCGCAGAAAGCCAGAGAGTCACACGTCTCGTTGACGATACCAGCAAAGGCGTTGGTGCCGGGGATTCGGGTCAGACGGTACTTGGAACAATGGCTACCATGGACCAGGTTGGTTAGGTCCCCCTATGACGAAGACAGGAAACGTTTTTTTTTTTTTAAGAATTTTGTATTTTATCCAAGAAACAAGAATACAAAAGAGAATGGTCAGGCCTTCTCACAATTACCCATAAAACAAATAGAGAAAACAAAAATGGACCAGATATCAGTAGATAAAGTAGTAAGGGACATGAGGTAGGTTGACAAACTTACAGTTTGAATATGTGAAATTATACTCAATATGCTCCTTGATAATCTACAAGAGGGCATGAATGAAAAAGAACAATGTCTCGTAAAGGTATCTTATCTTAGTACCTTTAAAGCTGTAGACCTTAAATTGGAATAATATACTATCAAACTACACACAAACACACTGCATTTCTAAGAGAATTATAGTATACAGGAAATTCAATCACCACAAGGTGGCAGTGTTATACTACCACATAATCACATAGTGATGAGGAATGTGTGTGTTTGTGTCCTGTCTGCTAGTCCAGTGACTGTCTGATTCGGGGTTCTTGTGCAGCCATTCATACATCCAGTCATCTTGTGTTTTTCTCACTTACCATGATGCTGGTGTTGAACTTGTAGAAGCGCTGCACGGTGCGGTCACTGAAGCTGTTACAAAGGTTTTTCTTGACAAAGTTGGGATGGTTCAGGATGTCGTTGGCCACCAGTGGCTCCTGCCATTAGAAAGAGACGGGAGGACACGAAGGGAAATACAAGAAGAATAAACATGACAAGAGAAGGAAGCTCACTGCGATTATTAATTGGTATTTTTACATTTGTACAATAGTCCCTGGTCCTTCACCTTGTGTGTGATGTGCTGTTGCTCTGCAGGTGCGTGACCTTTGGGGTCAATGAGAGTGGGGTGAGCGACCAGGTACCCTCTGTCCTCCATTATGAAGCATCTACAAAGTACACACACAAAAAGGATCAATTTAAAGAACATAACTTAGATTAGTAATACAAGTACTCTTTCATTGGCCACTACGTTTGAGATCCCTCTTTTTCCCCCAATGCCTAACTGTACTGGCAGAATACTGCTCCATTCTACTTCCCTCCATTCCTTAAACATTCTGCCAAATACTGAGACTCTCTGCCCCACACCCCCTTTGAGCTAATCCTGTTTTATATGGCTCCTGAACACCAACAGAGAGCATGAAGGAAGTGGAGAGAGAGAGAGAGAGAGAGAGAGAGAGAGAGAGAGAGAGAGAGAGAGAGGGAGAGGGAGAAAAAGGATGAAGAGAAAACAAAACAAAAAGGGAGACATAAAAGCTGGTGAAAGTATGTAGCACTGAGACAGCAGCAATGCCACATCTCCAGCAGGAATGCCATGATAATCAGCTTATCTCTTCTTCCCTCCCTTTCTTCTCCTTCGCTCTGCAAGCTTAATTCTGGCTACAGATTTAGCCACCCTCCAAAGAAATGCAGGGGACATGGCAAAAAGAGGAAATCGAAAAAAGAAAGAAGAAATGCAAGAAGTGAAAAGATAAGACAAGTCAGATCCAATCCATCCTCTTCCTACCTGATCTTGTTGCCCCTGTCCTGGTTGCAGATGGGCAGCAGGTCCAGTAGGACCTTATAGAAGTAGCGAAGGGTGAAGTCTATGCCCATCACTGCAAATGCATATCCAGGGGCCATCAGAGAGCTAAAGAGAGGAGGAGACAGAGAAGAAGAAGACGGAAAAGAAGCATAAAGATACATTTTAAAAATCAGTCTCTGTTAAATGGTTTGCGGTGATTGTGTGTTAAGCAGTATGCTGAGAGAAGTAATGGTCAGTTACTCTACAGACCATTATAACATAAATGTTTACCCATATCAGTCAACAAAAAAAACAAACAAACATTACACACACACACACACACACACACACACACACACACACACACACACACACACACACACACACACACACACACACACTTTAAGTCTGTGTTTACGCAGACTACAAATTGCGTAATGTTATGCTCACTGAGCCGGTCTTCAAAAAGCTAATCCTGACTTATCACACATGCTGATACTGAATGTTTATGTGTACGTTTGCATGGACCATGGTAAACAGTTCCTGTTGTGCTACTGCAAGCGGTGATGTGGTGCTAAATTGCATTTTAACCTCGCAGAACTCGAAACATGAACACTTTAATCTCAGCCAGTTACAGGCTTCAATTCAAAGAGGACGCGTCCATTCTGCTACAACTTCTATAGAAATTGGCTGAAGCACCGGGGAATACTTTACTTCTCTGCACCAGAGCTCAAGGAGGATGGCTGCAATAAAGTGACTTGCTTGAGGGCACTTTGAAGAGCAGACACTTGAAGACAACTGTGACTCAACCCAGACTATTTGGTTGAGGGAGACGCCGTCCCTCATTCTACAGGCCTGACACAGTCAATGGTCTCCTTTAGTCCCTTTCAAATGATCTCCTCTCTTCAGAGACAGGGTGCTCTGCGGACAGCCTCACAGACCACGATGATATCTTGGCTCATAACAACAGTGAATCTGTTGATGAGCAATGTCTAATACACAGAGCTGATTATTATATTAACAATGTGTAGAACTTGTACACACAACTGATATTGTCAGCCAATTGGAGAATGCGGAAAAAAAGATATATCATCACCTTTTTAGTTTTAGCAACTTGTAAATGATAGTCCAAAAATGACGCTCTTGACAGCGGTGAGAGGAATCCAAAACTGTAAAGGTTTCTGGGCAGACAGCTAAACAATGACGACCAGACGATGGCGGATAAACTGTTCCTACATTTCCCAAGATTCTCTTGTTTCCTGGTGAGGTTTGGTTTGTAGACTTCCTTTTTTTTCAAATGAATGATTAAACCACTGAAATGTAAATATGTGACTTGCTAAACCAGTGTGGCACAAATGGAGAAGAGTCATATAGTCAGTGACTTGACTAAGTATTGTAATGTTACAGTAATATATCGATATCTATCTTAAGTTTGCTAGCATTAGCTGACATTATCCACCTTGAGCTACTGGTCATATCGGACCAAGTAAGTCCTAATGACTAGTCTCATCATAAATTAGTACTTTTCTTACGCAGGTACTTGTTCTGGAAGATACCCGACTTGTGGGACATTTTTTTTGTGGGTTTACTGGGAATACGCCTTCGTCCTCTTACCTGGAGGCGTGGATGGTGTGGCTGATGGTGACAACGTAGCCCGCCCCGCCCACATCCAGGTACGGTCCAGTGAAGGTGATGAGGCCAGGGTTAGCCACCGCATGCTGGTACCTACGCAACACATCGCACGGGCAGAGGGTTATTTCATAAAGTTGACCATCTTAATGTTTCCTGGCTAACGTAGTGAAGAAGATAAGATGCCTTTCATGATGCTTTTACAGATTTTCATCCTACAAGTCAGTACTTAAGAAAACTTGAGAATGTGAGCCGCAATTTTTGTGGGGAATGCAGAGAAATGCTGGTGCATTTGTTTTTGGTTTGAATGTGTACATAAGAACTGTGGGTTATACTGTCATAATTTGTTTATGATCATAACTTCTCTCAATTTTTTTACTTTGATAGTTTGGATTCACTGAATGACAGAACGTCTTGCTCTTAGTTATACCGGATCAATCAGATTGCTTCTTTGACAAAACTTAACGTTCATGAACCAAAATATAAAAGCAAGAAGTTAGATGTGACTTATCTGATTATATATGTTAAAATGAGCTGTATTTACCAATAAAAAAAAAAAAAACTGTTAGAACACCTGTATGCTTTAAAAAGTTTACAATTAATCATCATGATCATTTCTTTTGTCATTCCACTCTGCCTTGTGTTTGTATTTAAAACATGTTCACATAAGCTATATGGTTGATTACTCTCTGTATACATTTGTTAATCTGCAACTACAGCAGGGTTGTCATTTGTAACACAGAACACCTTGAACTGTGAAAGTAAGACTGTGAATATTATCTTTTCATATTTATGACAAAAAAAAAAAAAAGCCTGAAGAGTGATGCTGAGAATGCTAACAAACATCCTAACAACATCAAACTTCCCAGAATAATATCACATGATTGAAAACCTTTAAAGCACAGAAAAACATTGTGTGTTATGTTAAAAATTACATAAAGCTAAACTTCTGTGTAAACAGTGGGAAACAATGTTTGCCTTTCAATCTATTGGATATTTGTCAACTCATTACATTTCAACAGTTTAACGAGGAAATCTTGACTTAATTCAACTCAGTAATGGCTGGTTACCATTATAAGCACAAACATGTGCCGGCAGTTTGCACACATACTCATTCCCTTTAACTCCTACCCACCCAACACTATCTCAAACCTCCTTTTGCTCCCCGAAAAAACACACACACACACACACACACACACACACACACACACACACACACACCCCAAAGTAAGCCTCACCATTGTCTGCGGGTCGGGTCGAAGGCTTTGTCCATCAGTGATCCGGGGTAAATCCGGAGCACCCCACTGGGCGTTGCTATGTAACGGCGCACAATGTAGCAGTTGAGGCTACTCATTTCCATTAGTGTCATCCACTCATCCGTGACGTGACTGGTCGCCATAACCTCGTTCCTGACAGAGGACTACAGAGGGGATGGAGGGAGACAGAAAGAGAGGAGGGAAGGTGAGGGTGAAAGGCGAGAGGGAAGGATGGAGGAGGTAAACAAGGAGAGGAGGGAAACAAAAGTTGAGTAAGTAGGAGAAAAGTTAACCTGGGGTTTGCCTGACATCGACTAAAACTTTTGGCAGCTTGGCCTCCAGTCTACTCACAAACAACGATAGAGAAAAACATTCTTGCCAATTCACACCTAAACTATCATTCTACTGTATTGCAGCTCAAGATGATGATGCATATCTACAATTTCATGAAAGTATAATCAACAAATCACAAATAGTAAGGCTCAGAACAGCAGTATTTAGGAACAAGTGGGACTCGATTAGCCCTAAAGCCCTGAAAAACACCCTGAAAAATCACATCCCAGTGCCGTTTTCAGAGAGGCTTCGCAGTTTGAAAGGGGTGATGAGGTCACCGGAGGGGGCCTTTAAGACTAGCCTGGGAATCAGAGCTGGGACTGGGGCTTAGAGTTCAAACTCTAACCCCCTTCTCCCCCAGGACAGGAATGCACACAGGCTGCCAAAACCACGTGGGGGCTTGTCCCCCTTCTTAAAGATGCAGTGCTTCGTTTAAAATGTGTTCATTTTAGTTAGCAGCCGGAAAAGTTGCTCGCTAGATAGTGTAAGAATGATTGAAAAAGATACTTCAAAAGCTATCTTGGGACCCATTAATTGTGTGTTTGTACATACTTACTGAAGAATATGAATATGTGAGTACATGCCTGTAACCTGACTGCTGGCTATGTGCCATGTGGTTGTCAGGTAAACAACATTAACCCCGTGTGCGCCCGCAGGCCAGTCTTCGCCGCGAGTCGCATCGGTGTTCCCCCTGCTTGTTTTTACCTTGAGGCCTGGGTTGGCTATGAGCCTGGTGTTATCACTCAGGTAGGCGGTGTAGTGCTCCACCATGCGCTTTGTTTCCGGCTGGCTGAGGTGCTCGTAGGGGGAGGAGAAACTACCAGCTGCCAACATCACAGTGGGGGACTCTGGGAAAGAGACAGAAAGGGGGAAATAGGGGACAGTCAGACATGCTTATGAATGATTTAGAGCCGACTATGGATAAAAAATAAAGTTGTCATCTATTACTCCAAGTTACTATATGTTAGTGCAGTGCTTTTTTTTCTCACCAACTGTAGCAAGCTGTTTGAAGTGCAGGCAGGAGCTAGGCTGACCCAGCAGGTCTAAACGATGGTAGAGTAGCTTAGAGCTGGGGACTGTGTTCAGGTTCTTCAGATGCTTCACTGGGATCTCCGGCTGCACGTACACGATGCACAGGATGAACGACGTGTCCTGAACCTAGAAGATAGAAAGACAGGAGTGGAGGATGAAGGCTGACGATATTCAATATGGTTGTTACTGTCAACACATCAAAAAAGAAAAGATCAAAACAGGCAATGCTGTCAATGCCTATTTGACCTTTTTTAGCAGGCGATCCCTTTAAACTAATGTACAACACATTTACCTTTAGTGACTAGTGTGAGCTTATGAATAAAATACTGGCAGTTGATTTAAAATGTATACACTCTACTCCTACATACTTTGTACAAAGCCAAAGATGCTGTGACATGACACACACATTCCCCATATCAGCTCTCTTTTTCAGTGTCCAGAGTCAGCCTTCACAGACAGTATTTTATGGGTTGCACGCATCTTTTATAATAAAGATAAATGTGTTTGGCTGAACATCTGCTTTCACCCTGCTGATTCTGAATGAACCATACTGGGCTAGTCTGGTGCCAAATTCAGAGATTTTGTTTGAAACAAAGCCTTTTCAGAAACTTCTGATAACTCAAGAGTAAATAGGCACAAATCTCCATATACTATGCTCTTTTAAAGAGACATTTTATTCTAAAATTCTGGTCACAAGCACAAAAACATGGTGTACTCAAAGGATTTCCATAAAATCATTTTTCATAAAAACAAGAGACAGCTGCGAAACTCATTGGCAAAAGGTGACGTGTTTGAACTCTAGCGGCTGTGTGAAAAAAAAATTTAAATGTCAAAAGCTTTTACAAAAAGGCTAAAAGTAAAATGCCTCAATCAAGTGTGATATTAACGCTCCTGCCAAAATTCTAAATGTCAGAAAGCAAAAAGACTCGACGTGACGTTATTGCTGTTCTGTTGCCATTTCTTCCTAAAACACAACACCTCTGGGCCGGAGAGGGAAAGCAGATTCGAAGGAGAGACGGTTTCTGGTTGTGGGAGCACTTGTTTTTTATTACAACGACTAATTTAAGGCGATGGAGGTTTGGTGGAGACATAAAGGCTGGGAGCATAAATCTCTATACTGCTTTAGACAGCGGTACAGTAATGATAAAGCGCTGTAGACAGAGATGGATGCCATAGAGAGAAAGTATATGAGACAGTTATTGTCCCAACACGAGGATGGTTCACTGGCCCAGAGCCAACGATCATCATTTATCTCTGCTGAGTGCTGATTCTGCTTTCAATAAATTATTCTTTTGCTCACAATTACTCGAGACTTCAAATCAGAAAAAATCAATCCATCCATCCATCCATCCATCCATCTATATTCATGTGTGTGTAGATATATACATTTTAAACATTATTTGTTTAACTCCTCTTTGTAGCCCTATTTTTAATTGTAAAACTTCAGAACAACTACGATGCTAATTGTACTATATAAGGACTTGAATGTTAATTTACATAACATTTAAGTGTATGCAAGTTTGCTTATTTGTGGGAGTAAAGTAGTGACCAGAAAGTTCAATGTTTATTCTAGGCTGCACTGTGAAGTTTAATTTCACCAGGAAACATGTTTCAGATATTTAGTCTCTGTAGGGTAGGGACTGTAGGGACACCTACCAGTTTCCAGGCATAGCTGACGTTGTATGCGTCTTTGCTGTTGTCCCGCAGTCGGTTGGTGTGCCAGGACAGAGACGAGTTGACTGGGACAGAAATTACCTGACTGCCCAGAGGGAGGCTGCAAAAATACACAGCATTACACAAACAATACACATAACACATGCTATGCATGCATCAATGGGTGGAGGAATTGTGGTTTCAAATGGTTTTATTCACGTGTTCCTCATCCTCTCTTACCTGAGGATGTTCTGCCGTGCAACAGGGAATCCTGGGATATTCTCATAGTGGATAATGTCAGTGTGAAGGGGAGGCTCTGTCATCAAGTAGGGCCGTGTCAGTGATGGATGCATCAAGGTGTAACCTGGGAAATCAAACATCATTAATTAATGTTTATACATACTAAAATAAACGGCAACATACACAGACTAATTCAGAAAGACTGGATCTGCTAAAAACATTAAAAACAACTATTATGGACCAGCAGGGAATCTGTCAAACAAGTCATATTGCACAATTACTCATGCTATCATTACTATTCCATAGACACCAATTTAAAAGCCTTTTTAGCCAACATTTTATTCAGCTCCATTTAGGGAGTCTTGTAATTGTTTCATACAGCTAAAAGACAAAGCCATGTTTTGTATTTACAGTCACTAAATGCACCAAATGATGTGAAAAGGGTTGATTACAGGAGACACCATAGGTGTGCGTTGTTGCTCGTAGTACCTGCAGATACATCAAAAAAGATGCTGCTCGGCACATTGAAAGTTATTTTACGATATTGAAAATGTCTGAGGCCACTTTCTTTAAAAATGTCAGAAGTTTTTGCCACCAATAATATAATGATATATTGCAACCGACGAGTAGATAATTGCTTCTGAATAGAGCCTAAATGCCACTTAATGTCCCATAGATCTATTCTGGCAACTTGTTTCCACAAATTATCTGGATATATAGTGATACATAACTGCTCCAGATTAGCCACATGAATTGTTTCTCCAAAAGACCATCGCCTCCTTATTAAACTGAATTAGCAAAAGCCTGAGCATTAACCTCCTGCTGGTCTACTATTTTAGTGTAGAATTTCTCAGTTTTTGTTGTTTTTTTTATAAGAAAACAGGTGGATGGATCATACTCCCAAAGAAATGTCCTTTAGGCAGGATCTTGATCACTAAAATACTCAATATTTGAATCCAATCATACAAAAGATGTTGATGCTACAAATGTCCCAACACAAACCAAAGTGGATACTGCTAGCAAACAGTACTCTGGTGCTGCTAAGGAGTGATAAACACAGCTCTTCACAGCTGCAGTCATCATTTTGGGAGAGCCAAAAAGCCCTCGAGATGTTTTGAAAAAATGAAACAAAATCATGTGGTGTTGCTTTTTTTTTTTTTACACAGTTCTAATACAAAGAGTGTTTGTTATTTGTGTGAAGTCTCACACATGCTATATTAGACCAGGCATTGCTGTCCTCTTACAGCAAACTACAGCACACATGGAAGAAGAAGCCAGAGCGTTGATAGTTTAGGTAGAGGCTTGCTTAATTCCGATCAACATTAGATACATGCCTCCCATCCGAAAAAATATTTCCGATGCACTCACCTGTTATTTTTAGTTCCAGGACGGGAAGCCCGTGTCAGCCGTGTGTTTATCTAATTGTATTTACCGACACTCTAATTGCCAGCACACGCCATGTATGCCAGCTAATAACTTCAATGGGACTCATTCATCGATGTTTATAGAGTTGCTGCTAATAAGCATGGTGCAGTAATAAGCTATAATTTGATGGCAAATTTATTACAACAAAACATTTTAGAGGGGAAAAAAAGAGACTCATTGAATGGCGCAGCAGAGGAGAGAAACTCACACAGCTGCAAAAATTCACTTGCAAGGATTACAGGTGAGTATATGTCAGTTATTCTGCCCATTTCAGGTTCCTTTTGAAATGCCTAGTTTTCATCACCATCTTATAAGCTTTGCAAGAGGACAATGTCTCCAAGAGTTGCATATTTCAGCCAATACTACTCAGTACACGTGAGGGGAACCAATCTTTGGCTAAAGTGCCATCCAGCAAAACCCTGTCCATTGATGTCCCTGCTCTCTGGGCCTACAGAGCACAACTTGCCTGCTGTGCAGCACCAGTGGTTTAGTCAAGACCCCCTCAGCTGAGGCCAAAACAAACCAAGACCGGACATGAGCACTACCGCCCCGTGCTGTGGCAACGCACTGAGGCACAGCTCAACAGAGAATGAAACGCCAAAAAAGTGCCAGTGCTACCAAGATGATGTCAATTAAGTCTAACGAGGGATAATGGCTGCGGAGGAAGTTTAAACTGACAACATAATGTGTAATTCTACTTGTATGGGAAACAAAAACACCAAAATACACTTTTCCAATCATTTGGAGTGTTTCTCTCGGTCTAATAAAGACTGATGCCTTGAATACGCAGAGAAATGCGTTGTAGTCACGAGAGTCTGTCGGACCTGGAGAGGAAACTTGTTTCTTTAGTTACAGACTTAGAAATCTAAGCAACACACAATCTGTGAATGATCTGTTCTGCAGTGTTTGTTATAATACCCGGTAGGCCTGTTATTACTGCACATGGAGAACACTTTATTTAGAGAACAGGCTGTTATGATACAAAGCTTTATTTGGCAACGCTGCCGTTCATGTGGCCGACCACAAGTTAGAAAAGGCATCGTTTCTTGCACTGCGGTAAATGTATTGCCTCGCCCGTCTCTAATTGACTGACCTTTGTTGTCAATGAGGAAGGTGTATGAAGCCAGCGAGTCTTGGTAGTAGGTGACATCCTCCAAGATGTACGCCAGGTTCACATCCACCCCGACCACGCCCAGGAGAAGGTTACCGAAATAACAGGGCCGGCTCACGGTCATAATAAACCCTGGAGAGAGAAGAAGAAGCTCAGTAAAGTTCGTGCAACCCCTCGTGTTTTGTCTTTTTTTTTTTTTAAGTCATTGTGTTTTTGCAATTCAGCTCTATTGAGCTCCTTTCAATAAATCAATGCCGAATACGAATTTCAGTTTTCCTTCTGTAAATGTGTTTATCCAATGACTACTTTCACATTCTGGGAAATATCTTCACTTTCTTGTTGAGACTTAGATGAGAAGATCAATACCAGTCTCATATATGCACGATAAATATGAACCAAGAGCCAGCTGGCCATTAGCTTAGCTTAGCTTAGCATAAAGACTGGAAGCAGGGGGAAACGGCTAGCCTGGCTCTGTCCAAAGGAAACAAATCTGCCTACCAGCACATCGAAAGCTCATCAACATAAACTGTATCTTGTTACATGTCTCCCCTGGTAAGCCACTGTCTAAAGCAAACAATCTCACTAATCTTAGCATGTAAAACCACGACTTTCTGTTTTTGTATGCATTAAACAAACAAGATATCATTTTTTTTTTTTAGAGATTAGACAAGAGAGCTTTAGGTGTGTGTGTGTGTGTGTGTGTGTGTGTGTGTCTTTGGACAGAGCCTAGCTGCTCCCTGTTTCCAGTCTTTATGCTAATTGTCTGCTTGCTCGTGTTCAGCTTACAGATACGAGAGTCGTGTCAATCTTCTCATTTGACTCTCTGACTGAATTTATGTTCTTTTAGGTCAATTTTATTCAACTGATCTGGACTTCCTGCTATTTGGCCCAAAATTAAAATGTCATTCAATATTGGTCGAGGCTATCCGTCCAAACCACTCACCATCTCCCATAGGGTCAGAGTAGGGCAGGCTGAAGCGGGCCAGGTCGATCATGCGATTGGGCAGATTGATGTAGAAGCGGCCCACTGTCGTCTCCAGGTTACTCAGCTGGTTTAGCACCATCATGCTTCCCTTCACCACCGGCATCATGGAAGCTCCTGCTGATCCAGACGAGGACATCGCAGAGGAGCGGTCTCGGTCAGACATTCGGTCCACACCGTACTTCACCGAATTCTGCTCTGCGAGATCCCTCAAGAAGGCCAGCTCCTTCAGGCCTGTTACTCCCTCTGGAGGAGCAGGGAATGGGATAGAGCATGGGTTTAGGATAAGGAGGGAGAGACAAATTCAGTTGATTTATTCAAACAGGGATATCAAAAACAAATCCTTAATTGACAGCATGGCTGAAGGTCTATTGAACAGGTTAATAGTGCAAATGAAAAGAGGAGGGAGTGGTTGAAAGGAGGTAAAAAGAGTAAACAGCTCTTCACTAAAGAGTGTGTGACTCAAGTTCCTACTATAAAAGGGCAACCCGCTGTTTTCTTTGTTTCCCCTAGCTATAAAACAACAAAAAATAAACTTTGTTTAAGCAGCAAGACAACCTGCATTGAACAGAATCATGAATCAAAGCACATACTATACATTGCAACATGGATTTCCCAAACTTATTAGGAATGGCAGCAGAGATATTTCATACATGCAGGCCCTGACTTGTGAACCTGCGTCATGATCTCTATAAGCTTTATTTGTTCAATCCTGTGCTCTCTCTGCCAAGTAACGATCGTCGTCTGTGAAGCTCAGATATCACGACACGAATAAATCCCTCATCGCTTTAAAGCAGATATGCAGCCGAGTCGTTAACGCACTCTTCAGACTCTTTTCCAAGCCTCATAAGGTCATTTAGAGGAGGATGGATAGCCATGGCTGGCCCCCGACAGCTGTCACCTGGAACATTTGAGAGCACATAATGTCTGCCAGTATCCAATCATTGACTGGATTACAGCAGAATCTCTTTTTGATGCCGAGGCTCTGCTGATCATCACGCCAGGCGACTGATGGGAGGCAATGTCGTCATGGGTGGCAATGTCAAACCAACACAAAGGAGAAAGTTTGCTGACAGCACAGGTTTCTGTTCACTTTAATTTATAAAAGGGGGAGAATCCATTTCCACTCTTCTTTCTACGATAGCTGTAATGATCCTTAATACCTAAATTATTATTTAATATGAAAACATTTTATGAATAAAAAATATATAGCTATATGCAAAATACGATGAGTAATTTGTAGGCAATGATCGACATGTAGGGTAAAAACCATACTCAAGCTAGTAGTTCATTCAGCAGGTTATTCAGGCCACCATACACAGTGTTGGTGAGGGAGGTGGGCATCATAAATACACACACACAACTGTGGCTTATACTGCCAAGGGACTGCTGATCTCCTTGAACAATCGTCACTTCATATTTGGCAGGGGATGCAGGGAATAAGACACACACACCCACAGTGGGCCTTTCAGCTGTGTGCAACAGCGTCAAAACAAATGTTGTTTTGGTTATGCATTGCTAATGAACTCAGAGGACGATAGATTTCTGCATCCTTTTCATCATGGAGCTCTTTAAAACAGCCAAAGGTCCTCTGTCAGTCAAACACAGAGTGAGCAGCACGCCCTTTGAAGTCTCACTCTCTCCTCTCTTAGATGTACCTAATTATCATTCTCAGATGCAAAAATGATTTGTATTAATGGTGGACTAATGCATGCACAGCAGAGGTGTGTGTGTGTGTTGCAGAGGGAGGTGGGGATTAGAGGAGGCAGATGGATAGACGAGGACAATAAAAGAGGAAAAGGAAGCGCACACACACACACACACACACACACACACACACACACACACACACAC